AAAAAATTTGGTAGAAAGTTTGTTTTGACTTGTAGTTGTTAACTTAACTCTATGTAGTCAACATCCAGATTTTCACATTTTCCCAATTTTTCTTGACCTTCTGAATACTGTTTTTGCTGAAGTTTGTGGATTGCTCCTTACGAGGATTCTACACTTTAGTCTCTTCTGGCACAACCTATCACAAAAATAAAGGATGCAATGTCCTGATTTTCTCAGCAATATGCACTCAGGGACCAATGGTGACACTGACAAAATTCCATCAATATACCATAATAACTTCAGGGTGATAATTATTAATTTACGATACCCCCTTGTAAGGCGCAATCTGCAGATTTTTACAATATCCGGTATTCGGAGGATCAAGAAACCCTGGGGAAAATGTGTAAATCTGGATGGTGATTACGCAGAGATAAGTTAACAACTACAAATCAAAAGAAACTTTTTGACAATTTTTCAAAAAAGATAGTAATTAACTTTGTACACCGCAGAAATAATGCAGTTTGACACCACTTTGCCATGGCTTTATCTTACACGATCCTGGGATCTGTAGTTTGCCGTGGCATCAACGCTCTTTGACAGAGAAGGCTAAATATTTCACAAAATAACAAATTCCAGAATTCCATAGCATTGAGCCATGGCAGTTAAGGCAGTGTCAAACTGCATTGTTTTAGTAGTGCAGATGCAATTTGGGTCATCCCAGATGAAGCAGCACAGCTACGCAGAGCAGAGCGGAAAGAAAGAAGTTAAAGACACACTCTCACCTGTACTGCTGGAAATGTTGACGTCGATGCTTATATCCGAAATGCCTCCGCCTTTCAAAGAGGCGACGCAGGTGTACGTCCCAAAGTCAGTGAATTTCAGGTCAATAATGTCCAGGTTGGTGGTTCCAGGTGAGACGTCGGGGTCAGTCTGGGTGATAACCATCCTCTCCGAGCTGCGCAGCGGGCGGCCATTTTTAAACCAACTGAAGGTGAGCTCCTCTGAAGGAACCGCTTCTACTTGGCAAGAGATCTTTACCTCCCGGCCGATCTGGATGTTGTCGTCTTTATGATAAGGGTCGGGTGTGATCCAGAACCTTCCTTTCTTCAAAGCTAAAGAAAAAGAGAAACACAAAGCTAAAGAAAAGGAGAAACACCGGTTGGATATAGCAATGTTTCAAGGGAGGTCGATGGTGGTGGAAGAATGAGCAAGAGAGGAAGAAGACAGAGCATCCTTCACACATGTGAGAGATAGCATCCACCTATATTTGTTCATTTCATGTCATGACTGAGATATGCAGTAGTAACCTTGACTTTGGACAGAATTCTCATCATCTATGAAGAAAGAGAACTTTCCTGAAATACTGGACCCATATATTCCAAGCTGAGACTGGGTTAAATTTCACTCTTCCCCCATAAAGACTTTGTTTAATATCCCAAATTGACACACTTTACAGTTCCAAGATAATTTTTCTTGGTAGGAAATCTATGCAGCCAGTGCTCTACAGCAGAGAAAAGGGAAGGTTAAGCGGTGACATGACAGACATGATTAAACATCTGAAGGGATGTCCGTCCTATTGAGGAGGAAGGGAGTTTGTTTGCTCCTGCTCCAGGACACGGAGGAATGGATTCAAGCTACAGGAAAAGAGATTCCAAAATGGGGAAAGGTCTGGACACTACCAAGCCCTATGAGGAACGACTTAGGGAGCTGGGGATGTTTAGCTGGGGAAGAGAAGGTTGAGAGGTAATATGATAGCCGTGTTTAAATATTTGAATCAATATCATATTGAGGATGGAGGAAGCTTGTTTTCTGCTGCTACAGAGAATAGGACCCAGAGTCTCAATGGATGCAAGCTCCAAGAAAAGAGATTCCACCTCAACATTAGGAAGAACTTGAATGTAAGATCTGTTCAATAGTGGAGTACATTGTACAAAGGTGGAGTCTCCTTCTTTGGAGGATTTGAAGCAGAGGCTGGATGGCATCTGTCATGTGTGCCTGAATTGTGTCTTCCTGCATGGCAGAGAAAGGTTCAACTAGATGGTCCTTGGGGTCTCTGCCAGCTCTACGATTCTAACTTTCTTGTTTGGTGGCAGGCCACATCTGCTATAACATAGCATGACTGAGTTTTCCAGCAGCAACCTTGAGATTGGACAGAACTCTCTTGGTGAACTACACTGACATAACTTTGCTGGTGGAGATAGTGAAGGCAGAAGATAAGGCCCATGAGCCCTGCAACTGTGACGAAAGAAAGGTCTTGGAGAAACAGATTGGTTTCAGGCAGAGTTGAATGTTTTAAACCAGGTTGGTTTAAACCAATGCTTCCCAAACTCAAGTGTTTTGGACTTCAGTTCCCAGAAGCCTCAGCCATCTTGGCCAATGGTTTGGGATTCTGGGAGCAGAAGTCCAAAACATCTGGAAGGTGAGAGTTTGGGAATATCTGGTTTAAACCATGGTTTAAAACTTGGTTTAAAGCTTGGTTTAAACCAAATGACTTTTAAAAAAACACTCCTCTCTCTCTCTCTCTCTCTCTCTCTTTTTTTTTTAGTTGATTATACATATTTTATTTTAAAGACTGGCAATTATTACTATTTCCCAACCTCTCATTGAAAGAACAATGGCTGACTGAATTTAAACATTTTAACTTTAACTGTTTATTGGCAGTGGTTCATGATTCCAGGGCAGTTGCTACTTTCAAAATCAATGTATTGTATAGTGCAAGGAATGCCATTCAGAAACAAATCCTTCAATTAAGAGAAGTTCAGCCAAAACAACTTGCTTTAAAAGGGCCCTTTTAAATTTATTTGTTTAATTATTTATTTATTGAAAATCCCACAATGATTATTTACGCTAGTGGCCATAACATCTGAATTGCATTTTGCTAATTTTCTGAGTCCTACATTGGTGTTGCCCTACACCTGCTAAATAAATAAATAAATAAATAAAAATGGTTTAACCGTCCCCTAAAATGGTTTAACCCAACAACAACAACAACAACAACAACAACAACAAAAGCCACACATGGGTGTGTGTTTATTTGCTTAAATGTCTCCCACCCACTGACCCCTGTTTCAGCTTTTGTCTCCCTTGCTGCTGAATGTTCCTGGGAAAAGTGCAACCATTAGCGAAGTACATGAACAGGATTCTGGCCATAGATCCAGAGGCTGAAGAACCAGTTAGACCAACAGAGGAGACACCAGTTTGATGCTGGTTGGACATGGTGAGCTGACGTTGCAGAAATCTGATCTTGTTGATCTACAAGTTGATCTTGTAGAATCTGAAAGGCTAAAGAGGAACTGAAAAAAGTCATCTTTGCTACAGTCTGGTCTCCTTCCCTTTTTCTCAATAACTGAGCAAGATTCATGATGTGGTCCACCATCGTGGCAATGATCATTTGGGGCCTCATTTCTTTAAGATAATTATGCTGTTAAAGGGACACTGTGTAATCATTTTTGGACAGCGACAAATTTAAAATCAATGCTTGTAATGCTGGTTGTTCTCATTTTTATTTTGTTTCTGTCTTTTTCTTTTTCTTTGCTGGTTGTATTGATTTGTGGCTCTTGCTTACTATCATAAATAATATTAATAAAAAAAGAGGAAACACAAGGTCTAGAATCCATCAAAGACCCCATCCCTGGGAGATCACACACTTCTCCAAGAGCTAAACCATCCCAGGACCTGGTCCAGAGACATCATAGAATGATACGAGTTGGAAAGTAACTCAAGGGCTATCTAGTCCAACCCCCAGGAATGCACAGCTAAAGCACTTCTAAGAGCCATCCACCCAACCTCTCTTTAAAGACCTCCAAAGAGGGAGAGTCTACCACTTTCCAAGGCAATCCAATCCACAGTTGAACTGGTCTTACTGCTAGGAAGTTTGTCCCAACATTTAGATGGGATCTCCTTTCTTGAAATTTAAATTCATTGGTTCATATTCTACTCTCTGGAGCAGCATTAAGTAAGATGGCTCCATGCTCCACATGACACTCCTTTAGATATTTGAAGACGGCCATCATGTCAACTCTCAGTCTTTTCCTCCCCAAGCTAAACACACCCAGCTCCCTAAGTTATTCCTCATAAGGCTTGGTTCCCAGACCTAGCTGCTAAGGAATAATATCCCTAACTTTGATCTGACTCTACCTTACTAATGCAAGGACATGATCATTTTGCTGAACCCACAGAATCACAACATCTCACAGATGGAAGGGGCTGAAGGGCCATCTACTCAAACCTCCTGTCATGCTAAAGCACTCCTGAAAAATGTCCATCCATCCTCTGTTTTTGTTTGTTTGTTAACTGCCTT